ACACACACACAGACACACACAGACACACACAGACACACACAGACACACACAGACACACACAGACACACACAGACACACACAGACACACACAGACACACACAGACACACACAGACACACACAAAACAGCAGACAGGATGCACATCACAGTAACACAGACACACACACAGACACACACACAGACACACACACAGACACACACACAGACACACACACAGACACACACACAGACACACACACAGACACACACACAGACACACACACAGACACACACACAGACACACACACAGACACACACAGACACACACAGACACACACAGACACACACAGACACACACAGACACACACAGACACACACACCACACACAGACACACACAGACACACACAGACACACACAGACACACACAGACACACACAGACACACACACACACAGACACACACAGACACACACAGACACACACAGACACACACAGACACACACAGACACACACAACACACACAGACACACACACACACACAGACACACACAGACACACACAGACACACACACAGACACACACACACACACACACAACACACACACACACACACACACACACACACACACACACACACACACACACACACACACACACACACACACACACACACACACACACACACACACACACACACACACACACACACACACACACACACACAACACACACACACACACACACACACACACACACACACACACACACACACACACACACACACACACACACACACACACACACACACACACACACACACACACACACACACACACACACACACACACACACACACACACACACACACACACACACACACACACACACACACACACACACACACACACACACACACACACACACACACACACACACACACACACACACACACACACACACACACACACACACACACACACACACACACACACACACACACACACACACACACACACACACACACACACACACACACACACACACACACACACACACACACACACACACACACACACACACACACACACACACACACACACACACACACACACACACACACTGGGAGGGAGCTCTTCTGTCAGCTCCTTGAGCGCCGACCTGTACAATGAACATGTTGCCTGCCTGGCTGTGCGGGAGGCGTCACGCTCATCTCCAAAACGCGGGTGGTACCTTGGACGTGCAATTTGCCTTCAACCCTTCCAGCGAAGCCTTGCCAAGAATGCATGACCTTTACAGGACAACGGCGCCAGAGTCAAGTAAAACCGCCTCTATGATCTAAAACCACTGCAACCAAAAAGCAAGCTTCAAGCGCAAGCACTTGCAGCGGTTGCGTTATCTGATTTGCTTTCCCATTGGGCTATAGCCGATTTCCCCGCAACGACCAGAATTAACAAGTCGATTGAGGCATTGGCTCTCAAACAGCTTCCCCAGAAGTTCTCCTTTTCGCATGCCCAAAACCCTAAAACACTGGGCCGAACTGGAACTGCGTGTCAAGTTGCCCCAGTCGCAGCAACGGCGCCAGGTCCATCCAAAAGACTTCCCGCAGGAAGGGCCCCTTGGCTGTGCTGAGCTCCGTGGGCAGCTTCCACGCCAAGTGCTGGTGCGCCAGCAGGATGATGCTCACCTCAGCTGACAAGAGTGCGCCCCAAAGTCACTTGAAAGTCCAAACATCCAGCTCGCCCCTCTCACTCGCCTAAAAGGCAACGCCCTACGCATCACACAAAAGACGCACAAACTATGGCAAAGATGCAGTAAAAGACACCACGCAAGACCGAAACACACATTGGCCATGGGTCAAAAGCCCGTACCCCCAGTGAACATCCCAATCCCCACTAAAATAGGTTCTAAAATGGGTGGTGAATTCACCTACCCCAAAATGGGATCCCATTCGTTTTGACAACCACAGCCACATCACGCCAACAAACCTGCAGCATCTCGAGGCCTGTTGCCGATCCCAGGCGCCTTTCCGCCGACGCCGCCCTCCGCCTGCAAGTCCAGGAAGTTGGCGACGCTCTTGACGAAGCCCTGGCAGGGCCCCTTCCCTGTGGAGCCCAAGCCTGGTGGACAAAGGGAACTGTTTGATGGGGTCAACCGTCTTTTTGTTTTTTGGGGAAGCAAACGAAAACGGAAAGTTAGAGGGTGTCACTGTGTTGCCTTTGAGGGTGTCACTGAACTGTTGCCTTTAACCAGAACCCCAGTCCAGAGGACAGCGTTCAATCAACAAATTGGGCCATGCGACGAAGACGTTCTCACTTGCCCACAGGACCCAACAATTCAAGGTGAACCTTTTTGGGGCAATGACTAAAAATGGACCAAAAAGGATACAACCAAAAGGTCAAAAGACCGGCTTCGAACAACCGAGTGTTTAAAGCACGCAAGGAACAGGGAAGACATGACCCCTCCTGGATCAGATCCTGAATGGCATCCTTCAGCTCACTGCTGCGCGACCTCGCCGCTTTGCCCCGCGGGAACGGCATGACCTGAGGCCAGCTGGATCAGAGTTGGGCGAAGTTCTTTTTGCACAACCAACCCCTGAATCCCTTTAAAGGGAAAAACCACAAGGAGGCAACCCTGGTTGGTAAGCAAAGCCCTGCTGCTAGTGGTTAAATTCATATCTTCTGAAGGATCCGTACTTTTCGCTGCAACTGCCTTGATTTCGCCGTAGCTTCGCTGGTTTTGCGGTAACCGCCTCCTTGCCTTTGTCCTTTTTCCCTTTGCCCTTTTTAACCATGCAAGCACAGCCGAGCAAAGGACTCTAGTCATGTTTTAGTTTTTGATGAAGTGCAAAGCGTGCAGAACCTAGGGCTACTTGATGGGGCGAACTTCTTTGGATGCGGCCCGTTGAAAACTGGGCTGGGTCAGGGCGAAATTGAACCCTTGAATAAACACACAATAAGGCGTGTCCCGTGAGTCCTAAGATCAAAGCGAGTCCTAAGATCAAAGAGCTCCCCTTGTGGCCGTTCAAAGTGAAAGTTCAATGGCAGCATGCCCGCCCCCAAGTTGGAACCGTAGGCCCCCCTCACTCACCCATTCCGTCGCACGCCCGCTTGCATGGTGAAGTCCTTTTGAAGAGGCCAAACATTAGGTAACCGTCCCTGATTTCGGGACACGCCGCGCCCCGTGGCAGGGGCGGGCAAACTATGTTTAAACAACCAGCTGATCCACTTCTGCAATACAATGTAAACGCAAAACCAACAGAGGGTTGCTCAAGTAATTGTGGTTCAAGCATGTTTAAGGATGGCGCAACCCTTGCCAGGCCCGCAAGAATGTAACAACTTGCGTGCTTCCCCTCGCGCCCCTTGCTGATTTACCAGAACTAAGCCATAGCTAACAGTTAGTTAACCAAGAAACTAGGGGTTCAAACCACGGGTTCATAGATCAATAACCAAATTTTTACATGTATACATGCATATTTATATACATGTCAGCCTTTGACTACTTGGGCATCCGGACACACCATTCTTGGGGCCCCAGCCCAAATGGCAGCAGCCAGCTGCCCCGGGCTGTGGTTTGGCAGCTGCGTGGCGTCCACTCCATCCATGGCAGTCACCCCACACCTCCTGCGGAAAGGCAGGGTGCCACCATATGTGTCCACACGGAGAATATGCCTTAGGCCCGTCTCAAGCTGCCTGGGAACAGATTTGGAACCCTTCTGAGGGCACTACAAAAATATCACACATGTTGCTTGTTCATGACTTAATATGCTGCATAATTTGGTTCCAATGTACCTCACAACCCTGCCTTAATTCCTTGGGTTGTGGCAGCCCTAAGGCAGCCGAGCATGTTGCCGAGAATCCAGGTTCCTAAGCACCACCCTGTGACGACGTGGGGGCTGCAGTTGGCTGCAGGGATGCCAAACATTAGCGAAACAGCTCGTGATGCAACTGATATGACAGGCTTGCAATTTTGGAACCATAGACACTTCGGAAACGAAGACATACACGTAATGAACATTTGAAAGGTCGGTTTGGGAAAACTTACTTTGTATTGCACTGGGTTGACGACGCGTTGGAAACTGGAGGCTGGAAACAGGGGTTGAGCCGTGAATTGGAAACTAGCAAGGGCCAATAGTTGCAACCTGTCTGGTTGCCGCTCACGGATAATTAGAAGTGTATGGTGCTTTACTGTGGCCCTGCTGCGAACGGGAAGGTTTGCAGTCAGGAGAAGCAGTGATGGCGGCTACACGGCGATGCCTGGTACCAACAAGTGTTCGAGACGGGTCACAGTTGGAACACCTGATGGCCACTGGTAAATCGAGAGGAACTGACAGGCATGCACGGAAGTGGTCAGCAATGGGGGTGGGATGCTATGTCGCATGCAAAAACAGCTCCAAATGATCGAGACGCTCGAGAACCTTTCAGCAAAGAGACCCCGTAGTTCAATGCTCCACTCTTGCATAATGCCGTTGCACCAAGCCATGAAGGGACCCCAAAATAATACTGCAGAACAAGAAAAGCTTTATAACATCAAGGCTTTGCTCATCAAGGTTCTTTGACATTGGCTATACTCCAACCCCAATTTGATTCATGTTGCGAACGAAGCCCTCGGAATGTTCACTGTAAGGTTTTTTTCAGGGGAATGAGCTTGGTGCCAGATAGCCAACAAGTGTCACGCGCCCCCAAAGGAAACCACAAGGGGACCTCCCAAAACGTTGGGCCCCTCACCGGCTTTTGGCCGTCGGCTTTGGGATCTCCTGAGCCACTCCACCGAGCGCTTGAGCTCCGCCTGCAAGGCTCCGGCTGGCCAGCGCAGCTCCGTGGAGGTCCAGTTGAGGCGCTCGGCTTCCGACAGCTTCTGGGAGCTTCAAGGGGAAGACGTCGCAAGGGGCAACACGGTGGAGGGTTGCGAAATCCGTACGTCGCACTACCGTTAAGAAGCCCTGGTTTCTGATTCGATTTCCCTGCAAATGCCAAGGAACAATGGTTTCAACCATGGTTTCAAAGTGGTGCAGGATTTCATCCATCCACACTTCATCCAAATAGGGGGGGAATACTAACCCAAGGTTTGTCCGGCACGAGAAACTCCAAACAACTCAAGTTACAACAATGCCGAATTTCACAATTGGCAATAAGCATCGTGGATCGTTGCGAAGGTTCTTGCGGGTAACTTTTGGGCGAGCGAACCGTGTCCAGTCTTGGATCATCCCCCCTACCTAGGACGGGCAACGGGAGACTCACGAAGTCCGAGTCACAAAGCTGGTACCCAAAAAGTCCACCCAGAATGTAAGGAAACAAAACGGGGGCCGGCCGCACCTACTGGTTGGGAAGGTCCGTATTTCTAATTACTACTGGTACAGGTAGATCTTTAGAGATATTTACCAAGTTACTCACTCAACAATTACCAACTATACGCATTTCAAATTTTTCATTTGATTACGAAGCATTCTTTTCATGCTTGTGAAGGTCCCCTAGGTTTTCATTGTCGCTCACTTGTACCGTCCTGGGTGACGAGTTTGGCCGCCGCCGCTGTGAAGAGGTGCGTGTACTCGCCAACAAAGAGGGCCTTCTTGGATGCATCCTGGCGCTTGGCGCATGGCGGCCGTAGGCTTGGGGGGGACTCGGAGCTGGGTTTCATGTTTTGTGCATGCTCCTGGGGATTTGCCGCAGCAAGAAGATACATGTTGGTTTTTTTGTTCTGGTATGCCAGGGACATGTAGGCCGGCAAAGCCAGGGTAGTAGTTTAGGCTGGTCGAAGGATCTGTGAAAAAGTGTAGTTTGAAATGAACAAAGTGAATGCTATTGTCATGTCCATGTGCTTTCTGGTACTTCAAATGTACAAACTGTGCGTGTTTCCCAAATCTAGAAGACCCCCCCTGACAAGCTGGCTTGGTTTCCATTTCTTGAGACATGTCGGGTTTTCTTTTGGCTCCCGTTCAAAGCAGCCCCAAACTCAAGCGTTCCACCTACACCTTTGCCACCCTGTGCCTGGGTACTGGTCAGCAGCAAATCCAGTGGCTTGACCGTCTCCTTCTGGCGTTGTGCCAAGTCGGCCTCGCGCGGCATTGGCTTGGGCGTTGGGTCTTGCTGGTTTCCCTTTAAACCAACCTTAAAGGGACCCGCAAAAACACACACACACTCACACACACACACACACATGGTTGCGAGAACTGCTTGACATTCAAGTTGTGAAAAGGCGTCGATTTCCACGAGGTATCCCAAGTATCAATTTCTTTCCGTAGAGGGATGACAACACCAAAGAGGACATCACTGCCACATGGCAAACGGACTAAGGTTTGAACAACCCAGCCAAAGGGGGACTCTCGACGCTCCCAAATGGCTGATTTCCTCGTGGCTTTCTTCTGAACCTATTCAAGTCAGTTTGACTCCACAGGACTCGGGAAACAGCATTGAGCATGTCTGGGCACTCGCTTTGGGGCGGACTAGCGGCCAAGGACAAAACAATCCATGCCCTTGAACATTCTGAAATGACGATTCATGCTTTCCTAGGAGAAGGCAGATTTCAGAATTCAACATGATCAAGGCTGCTGGCAAGCTGACGTTTATGTTGGCAAACTGTCGCAAGTCTAGGGCACACGTCTTGTACCCACGTGCACGTGGCCAAGTGCCACAATTTAACATACAAAGTGGTGAGCATCTAGAAGCAACCAGCTAAGTCCTACCAAAATGGTTGTGAAGGTTTATATTCTGTACTATTAGTAATCCCTGTAAAACATGTAAAACCAAGCAATAGAACAGCGTTTTTGGGCGCTTAGTTGGCTTCTCGTTTGAGGCGCCTCGGGCTCCGGGTACTTCTCTCTCCGCCCTGGCGACCTGCCCCGCGTCTCCGCGCGCATAGCGCCAAGCGGTGGCACGACCGGCACGGAAGCTGAAGCGTCCTGGAAGAGTCCGCAGCAGGGTTGGGCGCAAAATTGAGAGCACCCTTTAAAGGGAAACCCAAATGGAGGATTTTTAACAATGTTGCTGAAACATGTTGAAAGCTTGGTGGGGCCCAACCCTCAACAGCACAAAGCACAGTGCCAAGCTCGAATCGATCTACGATAAAGAAGGCAAAAAGCCTTGCAGACCTTTCATTGGGACCGCCATGGGACGCGTGGCAGGTGGCCATTGTTGTGGCTTTGATGGGTACGGCACGGCAGTTCAAAGTCAGTTTCAAGGTTGGGCATTTCAGGAATGCAAGAAAGTCGATGTTTTCAAAGCAGCCATTTGAATGTCTCGTGCAATCTGTTCAACATTGACCATCAAACAATTGGTCAAACCATAACCTGACTTATGCAACCACCTGCGGGAGTTTCATGCATCTGCTCAAGCGTTCAGATCCACAGGCCTTTCTGCCGATGCTGTTGCGCACCCGCGGTGGTCGGGCGATAGAGGTCAAAGATGACAGGTGCAGCTTCCTTTGTTAGCAGCCCAACAGCTGGATGTAACGCATCCGTGGAAAATGTGGCTGTGGACCATGGACCATGCTTCATCAGCCTAGTGCTCAAGGAGTTCACTCCTTCTTGGAAGAATTACTCAAGCCTTTGACCAGCATTGAGTTCAAGAGACCCCATTTGCTTGCATTTCCCGGCCGCTTCTAAAGGGATGAACGGGTGCAAGTTGCTCAGGAAACGGCAAGAAACAGTGCAGTGCCCATACTCGCAAATTGAGAGAAGGCAAGACCTTGATTGCTCCGAGGACTCGTGTTGTCGCACAAGCTACGTATGTGGAAGGCACCTGTATGGTGTGACATGACGTATGTACATCTGCCTTCTTTTAGTTGCATGGCTGACCAATAAAGCGGACTGAACTACCAGCAATGGCTCTGCAAGGATCTTGGTTTTGGTGTTAACACAGCATGCCAAGTTGGCAGCACTAAGTGTCTCACGTGCCCCAGAAAATGTCAACCTTCTGCATAAACATGACTGAAACAAACTAGACACAGGCCAAGAGTGCGTTTCGCCAACTTGCCCAAGGTTTGCCAAACCTGGCAAGCTCAAGGATCAACAAACATCCAGCCGAGAATTTTAGGACAACCCCTTGTGCTCCATTTTGGGAGGCCCGCGCATCAAAGGTCGGCTTCCATTTTCAGCCGGGCGTCTTGCACAGTTGGTTGCAGGTGTGCAAGGATCGGAACTTCTGCATGGCACTCTGACCCAGGTCGGCGGGACCAAACTCCTGAGCCGCGGGTGGAATGCATGGCTTCGGAAAAACCCAAGAAATGTCCCCTGAAGTTGCTGTGGGAATCCATGAGCTTTGTCCTTGTTGCGACGGTCTGGATGAGCACAATCCAATGTTTGGCCAAGCCTAGGGAAATCCCTTTCCAGAGTAGCAATAACAGTCAAACAATGCAATCGCCATAGGAACCCATGTTTTGTGATTCCAAGGGATCAGCCTTTAGTGACAATAGTAGCCAGAGAGACGGACATCTCACCCAACAACACCAAAAAAAACCGTTCTTTTTCCACCACAATGCTCCTGCTCCAATGACAACATCTGCGGGTCCGTAAGGTGCACGCGGCGGCAAGGCCCGTAGCCAGCGCGCAAGACTCCCTGAAGGTCTGAAGCCATCATGCGACCGTTCCTGACTAGCCGGGTACGACAGGTGGAAACCTGAGCACCTCAAAAAGTGCACCACAGAACGAACATGCTGTAGTAAAAAGACATATGGGCACCTCCAACAACACGTTCACACATTGTGAAGGCGCCAGCTCACACCAAGAAACCAACACATCACCCCAGCATCCGCCAATTCAACAGGCGAGGTGCGTGGAGTCCAGGCAGAAATGCGCAAAGGCCTCCGGCGCCATGCTGTAGTTCGCGCTGCTCGCCGGCACCAAAATCTCCCCGCGGTTGTTGATCCACTTCACGAAGCCCTGCAAGGTGGTTTGTCATGGGAAGAAAACACACTGGCGCCCTCATTTCGGCCGATCTTCTGTAGATCCTAAGGGGAAACCAACCAAACATGGATGCCAAGCCCACATACCAGGCGACACTGGACAGGGCCTGCTGCTCTGACCCGCGCAGGAACGCCTCGGCCACGAAGACGTCGGAAGGAGCCCCGTGCACAGCACCTCGAGTGACGATAGTTTTTCTTTAGCAAAAAAAACTTCTGCAGCAAACTCGCAGCACAGGGCATCAAATTGCCCATGCCTGGCCTTCGTACACGAAGCACTGGGCACATGACACCAGGCGGGGTACGTCATCATGGACGTTGAAAGCCGCCCAGCGCTTGGGCCGTCCTTGCTGCTTTTGCTGCCTCTTGCCGTCAGCCGGGGCTCTCCATGTTTGCCAGGTTTTGCGCAAAGCCTCGTGGAACTTCTTGCCGAGGATGCGGGTCTGCTTTGTATTCTTCACAAAAGCCTCCACATAACTCAGCGAATTGTCATCTTGGGGGTACTTGGAGAATTTGGCCACCATCGAACGCGAAATGGACTCGTCGGCGAAGCGATGCACAAAGCGCATGCCTCCCTGCATGAAGGGGTTCTTATGCATTGCTACCCGAGCTGGCTTGCTTTGACCTTGTAGCAACTGACCGTTCCAGAGCCGGAACGAAATGCGGCATGCTCGGCTCCAACTCCTGATGGCCCCTGCGACATAACGCCGCGCGCTGTCAAAAGCAACCTCGCGCACAGGTCGCTCAGCTGAGGAATCCTGCCGAGTGCATGTCATGGTCTTGCTTAGTGAGGTGATGGTGTTCACCAGATTGTTCATGTCGCAACATGCTTGGCTAAACGATCCTCGTGCGATTTGGGCGATCTGCTGGAGAATCGAAAAGTCGCACTGCCCCAGGCCCACCGTGTGAATTGCCAATCCGGGATAACTGGCCGCAACAAGCTGAAGATCTGGAAGCATACGCGGCTGCAAGCTACTTGGGCAGCCGTCGGACAAGAACACCACCTGAGTCTTCAGCCCTGGCATCACCAGCTTCTTGAGAGGTGCGAGCAAAGTTTCATAGCAAATGGGTCCACAAGGGATAAAGCTCTCATCCTTGCTCAACGCGACAACTGCCTCTGACGCACTGCGGTGTTGCAAAGGAATCGCGTAGGAACCTTTGGAAAAAGTGACAATGCTGTACAAGTCTCCGATTGCGCCACTTGACTGCTGCTGGCTTACCAGTTGCTTCAGCACGTGCCGCGCTGCATCGATTCGACGCAGCAGTCCCCCTCCAATGTGCCTGACGTCCGCTTTCCTGAGGCTCAGTGAAGCAGGGTCGTCTTGATAGGTCTGACAAGGCAAACTCAAATGCACAGCTACACTACACCTGCTGCCCAGTTGCTTCATGCTCGCGGACATGTCTATGAACAGGAGCTTGGATACCGCCTGATCCACGTGGCAGGGCTTTGGGAATGTCTTCAGCTCCCCGAGGACATCCTGAGCCTCCTCTGAATCACATTCTGAATCCCATGAAGCATCGCCTGGGTCTGCTGTTTTTGGTTTGTTTGTGTGCTGTTCAAAGGACACGGTGCCCGTACATGTCGACTTTACTTGTAGCGCGTCTTCTTGTTGGAATGAAATGGCCCCCCTAGTCCAGAAACCCACCGTAAGGTGAGGGCCTGGTGTGTTGTTTGCCTCATGGACGCGTCAGCCAGCTGGCATCATAAGGGCCGGACCCTCGCTGGAACTTGCATCCATCCATTTCTGGAGCTCGTCAACATTTCTGCACACCTCGCCTCAGTAGGCCCTCAGCCGTGTTCTCCAAGGCACTTCCGAAGAGCCCACAGCTGGTCTATGACTCCAACTGGCAGGCGTGCACAGGACAAAGAAACCAAGCAAGCAGCACCATTCATTCTACTGCCTGCCGGGCTTCCATCACTACTCTTGAAGCCGTCCTCGTCGGCCATGACCGGCTGGGAAGTGAGGAATGTGAGCACAGCAGCGAAGCGCTTTGACGGCTTGCCCTTGCTTGAGCCTGCTTTGGCTGACTAGGAATTCAACAAAATGAAGGTTGCTTTCGTGTATGTCGCTTTACTTCTGCCAGGGGACAATCGTGCGCAGGTTATACTATAATTCCATGCCACTGCATTTCAGGCGTATATTACCCCTTGCACAAGTGCTCGGTAACCTCCACGCCTCCAAGCAACTGTCCTTGCTCAGTCCCCGACTTTTAGAAGCAGCTCCACGGCGTCTCGCTCTCCAGCCTGGTCAGGCTGGCCCTTTTTGGAGTTGGTGGGCACCAGCCAAGATCCAAGCCACCTCCTTGCTAGACCTTGTCTTCTGCTGATTGAAAGTGCCTCAGCATGACCGTGAATGGCTGAGGATTTTGATCTGGCAACCTTTAGAATTGCTTCACTGGTGCGTGTCTGTGTATCGATATGGCGCCGGCAACATGTTTGACCATGCAACCAAGGAACACACATGTGAAGCCGACAAGTTAAAAGGCTGCATGCTATTTTGGACGTCTTTGGACATGGCAGAACGGAGGACAAGTTGCGGCCCGCACCGTGCGACGCGTTTTGATGCTGAGTTCTGCCCCTTTTTGCTGTGGACAGCTCCGATAAACGAGCGGAAGGAGGCGCTTAGACATCAAGAAGCAAAACGTATTGCGAATGGACATCCCGCTCCAGTATCCTAATTCTGTGCTTCAACTGGTGTAGGATTCAGTCCATCCACAGTAAGGCAGCCTACTTGGGGGATGCGAGGTCTAACAGCCTTTCCACAAGTGAAACAGCCCGCCTCTGCCGCATAGTGCAGCGCGGTACGGCACTGCCGGTCCTGGCAGGGCTGATGGTTACCAGCCTAAAATTTGGCCAAACCAGGTTGACAGAGTCGATGCTCTTACACCTGAAATGCCCAGTCTAAGGACTGACTGGCTGCTGCCTCTGAAACATCTCCAAGGGATCCGGGCTTCAAAAGGACAAAAAGAGTCCGGCCCAGGTCTCACGAAGTGGTTTTTCCTGATCTTTGTGGTGAGGGCAGGTAGAACCCCAAATGAATTCTAAATGTGGCCCTCTTTGGGGATCCTGTTTATGCGGCACCCAATTTAAGTTCCAGAAAAAGGGGTACGGGTATGCAACCCGAGCAGGCTTGTGGGTGGTGGCAGCAGCCATCGCTGGGAAGCTGCGCGCAACCCGAAGCGCGGGCGTCCGGTCCGCATCCAGGAGCAACGCCCCACGCGTGCCTTTCAGCAGCAGCCTGAGAAAATATCACCCATGGGTCATAAACCGCCACGAAAACAGGACATCCAAACGCCAAGGGCTATGAAACGTACTAGTTTCGCCGATGTGCAATTTAGTATGAGATTATCATTGTTCTGCAGGGGCTTACCCAAGCTTGCAAACCAACTCACTCCTGGAATTCTTCAAGCATTGCCACATGGCCATCTGGACTTTTGAGATCCGCTCCAATTTCCAGGGTCGTCTGAATTGGCCTACGTCATGTAACACGTTGACTCGGATTCCCCTCGTGATTTCAAGGAAACACCCCAGCTTTCTACACGTTTAGAATCCCACCCCTAACTGGAAGTCCTGAGGCCCCCCTGGTTCTGCATGATGCTGCCCTCCCTGCTCATGAAGGAAGTGCCAAACAGACCCCCCCCCCCCGCCGTTGCATAGCTAGAGGGTGGGGGATAGAAAGTGTTTGATCTGTCAGTGAATGAGGAACTGCGAAGCATCGCGTCACACGAGCGGTCCCCCCCCCCCGCTGACCATACACAGCTTTTGAGCGGACCCACGATTGTCGTCTAGCCAAACAGCTTCAGGGAACAAACGGGTGGCGGCTTTTTGTTTTAGTTGGTTGACGTTCAAGGGAAACCCTTCACCGGGAAAAGGAAAAGGGCATCAAAGCAGCGAATGACGGCAGCTCTCCCCAGCGGCCCATCAGCATGTCGCTGCCATCCCATTGGAGTTAGCCCATTGGAGTTAGACCCTCGTGTTGAGAATGCATTCCACTGCTTGAAAAGGGTTTTGGCCAACAAACGACAAACGTCTCTACGCATGTATATATACATGTACAGATACACTCTACATGTATATGCATAGATGTGTGTGTATCCCTGCCCCACCCAAGCAATTGTAGACCTTGGCGCCCGTACGCCATGAAGGAACAGTTGCCCGCCCGCGCGCACTCCAGAAAGGGTGTCCGCCCTTCCTCGGGCAAACCGGTGTCCGAATGCCGAACGAGCCAAGCCTCGAATTGTCGCTCCGCCTGAGGCACACCCTGTTTTGGGAAGATCATCTTTAATGGGGCAGCCACCCAAAAACAAGGAGACAAATATTTGTGAATGAGAACCCAACCCCAGAGGGGTTTTTGGGAAAAGGGGAAAAAGGGTCACATTTTCCGGACTTCCTGCCTTCACCTCGCACTGATCACCGCCCTCCAAGGCCCCGCGCGGAGTCTGGCTGGTAGGGGTCAGCCTGCGCTTCCATGAGCTGCGCCAAGACCTGCGGGGGCTGGGAACTGCCCAGCGCACGAAGGGCCAGTCGATGGCTCATGGCTTAGTTGTGGGTTTCAGGTTTCAGGTCGAGCTTCGGGGTGGTCAACCCTTCTCAACTTACCCTTCCACCAACATGGAACCAGACTTTTTTTTTGTTTGGGGAGACTAGTTTCCTAAGGGGTGGGCCAGGGAAATCATGGGACAAAGCCGATTCTCCACCCTTTGGTGTTTCTCATCTTTTGGCTCGGAGCCTGACTATGACTCCCCAAGACATTTCCTCGATTCACCGATTTCTGCACAACTTTTGCGTTCTGCCATCCACCGCGAAGGCCGCAAGGCCCGAGCCGGGTGCTAAAACGGGGTACGCGGATCGCGCCTCCTGAGTCGCATCCTGCAAGGCAAAGCTGGCTGGCGTTGTTCCGAATGCGGGATCCCGCATTCAAATTCGCGACCATACAGTACGGGACACCAGTACAACAAGGGGAATCCACTACCATCTGGCTGATTTGGAGCAGTCTAGACTTGTTAAAAGTTTGGGTGCTCCCCAGAGGTGCAACTAACGCGAAACCCAAAAAGGCGAGTCGCCGACATCCCGTACTTCGGAAGAAATTGCCGGCGCCTTGGGAGCTGGTAGGCCATTCCTCGCCAACCCCCTAACTGGAAAAACGTCGACCCCCCCCCCATGCATTGTCTCGCTTGTGCCATGGTGGGAATGGGCCATGGTGGCCTTTCATTGAGGGTATGTCCCTGCCCTGCATCTGGGGGTTAGGATGTTGTGGCCTTCCACCCAGGCAGCTTGGAAGCCCTTTGCAAAGATGAGTTCTTCACTTTGAATGATTGATGGGGATGTCCCCTGGTATCGCCGGTGAAACGCCCCCGTGGTCCCCACTGCCTTGCAGACCAAAGGGACCTACCAACACAACCTGTCAATCTGAGACGTGAGGGTATCCCGGTACATTCTCAACCTTGTTACCAGTCATCCACTTGGCCTTTGCCTCTGTTCCCCAACCTTCCATCCCTATCAGACAGAGCTGATTGCTTGCCAGTCATCTTTTTTTGTGGTTGAACTCGGCTTGATCCCTCTTTTTGTTTTTTCGGTTGAAGGGCTTGTTCCAGTTCCGTTGGCTAAGGCCGCTTGGTGCTGGGCCCCTGCCCAGCAGAACTTTTGGCGGATGAGGCGGGATGCCCAAAGTGCAATTCATCCCCAGCCCCTATGGAATTGGGGGAGGGGGGTGACCCCTGGAATTCCATTGGTTCCATTTCCTTTGTAAGGGGGAGATAGCTGGAATTGCGGACGCTTCTCCCTGAGAAGAATGCGTCTTCCTGCCAGAACACCAGCTTGCCTCGGGAATATATTGCTATGTGTCATGTTGCCATACCAATGTGTGCCTAGCAGCTAGCAGGCTTGCTCACCGCAACTTTGCCACAATTTGCCTCCGAAAAGTTGAAGGTCAACGATGCCACCAATTCGCAGCCAGCCATCCGCAAGCATTGTGAAGCCATGTCTAGGGGTGGTTTGAGCCTTTGAGTTCTTGGCCTTCTCCCAAAGAAACCGCACGCCTTGCGGCGGCAAAGCAGCGACAGCGCGCTGGGCGCTGCGGTCACGCCGTTCAGGAACTGCCTCTCGCGCGAGTTTGGCTTCTTGAGGCAGGCACGATACGCATTCGACCCAAAGGCTTCACAGTGGTTCCTTCAAAGGGGGAGGCTCCTAAAACAACTCGAGAGAGTCATGGCACTGTCGATGCAGTTCGGTCTCGAGAGAACTCCGGATTGATCATCAAAGCCATCCCTCCAGAAGGACTTGCCTTTTTCGGACTGCTCGCGCGACAGCGCAGTTCGCCGAAGCATCCTACTTTCCCAAAGTCATAGCGAGCACTTGCCGCCATGTCTCTGAGCCCTCACCACGCGTTTTTCCCCAGCTCTAGACCAAAGAGCCAGTCAAGCAAGCGCGCCTGAACATGACAAGATGGCCCAGGTCAAGGATGGCGTATGCTCTCATTGACAACCTTATGGCATCTTCTCGTCGTTCTTCAGTGTTACTACGAAGACTTGGAACAGCCACACGTGCAGTGCACCCAGTTTAATCCATTCAGAGTATTTCGCTCGATCTGCTGAATCTTCTCGCCGAGGCAAGGACTCCAAGAGCCAAGCTTCGACATAGGGATAGCTCAAAGCTCCACACATGTTGAAGCATCGGGATGACCCCAAGAAATGACCCGACCATCTGCCAAGATCGCAGCAAAGGCAGATTCAGAAGCCTGGATCTCCACAACGTTCTGAAGCTGCTCCTGCACTTGACTGCTGTCCCCGCCCGAGTTCGGATCACCCCAGGTCACAACCGAGCCATTTGCCAGCGCAGCAAAGGCACTACGAGTTGCCTGAATCCATTGGACGTCTTTTAGCTTGTCTTGAACATGTGTGCTGTCGCCACCTCGGTCAGGATGTCCCCATGTCACAACCTGTCCGCCA